AACCAAAATAATTCTCTAGTCTTGTTAGTTTTTTTTTTGGCCTTGAGTCTTTGGGTCAGGTTTTGGGATCTTGGTCTTGAAAATTTTCGGTCTTGAAAGTCTCTAGTAAGAGAAACAATTGAATGTAATTTGTTTTTTTTCATTCTGAACTTTTCCAAAAAAAGACCTGAACAACAAGCGCAACTGTAGGCTTCGGTTTCAATGGCGTTTGCTTTTGTATTGGTTTAGAATGAGACGAGACTGAATGTAATTCCATTCCAGAACGGCGAACGCCTGTCACACCTCTTTTTATAACACCTAAAAAATTTCAAAAATTTTCTAAAAAAAATTTTAATTTTTAAAAAACGTTGTTCTCTCAAATTATTATGCACTTCCAAAACATTTTTAGCTCTTTTTGAGTTACTCTCTCCAGTAGGTATTTTAATATGATAAATATCATGACGATCTGGAGCTATCGATAAAACTGGTTTTGTGGGGCTAAAAACATCCTCCTCTTCCGGCATTAGAATATCATCTTGAAAAATTTTTTCAAGAAAATTTTTTACAAAAAATACCATCAACATAAGCATCATTTTGGTGAACGGTACGTGCTGGAGGAGCAGGAGGAGGTGCAACCGTCTTTTTTGGTGGAGGAAGAAATTCAGGCGGGGTTCCATCACAATAATTTATATAGCTGATTATGGCTAGCTGAAATAAAAAATTATTTTCGTTTAAAATACCAAAGATGGGTCAAGCTAACCGTTACGTAAAACTCGTATTCTCTTCCGAACCTAAACTCTAACAAAGAAAACTTTGAAAATGAACCCAAAACCCGTCTTTTTTCCTCAACCTTGTCCGCCCCTGGTAATCACCCATCAACTACCCGTTGGTCTTGCTCACTTCCATATCAGTCCCATTCCCTGGCTATTTTTCCATCAACTATCCTTCGGTCTGGCTTCCTTCCACATTAGTCCAATTCCCTGCTATTTTCCCCTACCCCAAAAAAAATTTAAAAAATTAACCTGATCTCCCAGTGCACTAATGCCCAATTCTTTAAGGTCATCCTTTCCTGAAAATTTTTTTTATAAATTAGAAATAAAAAATATATAAACCCAAATCACGTAGCAAATTGGGCTGTATTCTTTGCTTGACAAATGTAGAAGCATACTTTTTCCTCAATTTTGTAGGTAGATCACAGCATGCTTCAAAGAACTTTTCCCATTTTTAACTTTTTTTGTCGAGGAGCGTTGTTTTTTGTGTTCTTTCTCAAAAACTTTAAAGACCTCAAGATGTTTAATGCTGCTACGTGGTTCCCAGGTATCTAAAAATTTTTGGCTCTTATCCAGATTAAGCGTCCCATAAGTTTTTTTTGATACAAAATGTTTGGAAAGTGGAACTAACTTCGGATGCATAAAATGGACAAGGGCCAGTTATGTTATAAATTAAAAAAATTTTACTTGATTCATCCGAGTACCCCTCCCATTTTACTAAAAACTCTTCACGACCATTTTCAATTTTTCTTTCCAAAATGCTTTCAACAAAATACTTAAATTTAAAACATTTAGCCTTTTTAATAAAATATATAATTATTATCCTGACCTCTTCTTCTTCTTCCTCTTCAAGTTGTAAGTGTTGTGGATTGATGCGGGTCTTCTTGTTGTCTCGAGCAGCATTGTCTCCCAATTCTTCAAACTCACTATATTCGTCCATTAACTTTAAAATCTAAAAATTCGTTAGATATATAATTTAAATAGATATTTATAAATATTATGATGAAAGACATGGTTATATAAAAATATATTTATATATTTATCATTAATAAAAGATTAATAAAAAAATTTTTGTTGTTGTTAACATGTAGTCAAATGAGAAAATGTAGCAGTAAGGGAAGCGATTGTACAATCCTATAAATAGAAAAATAGTTCATAGGAAAACATTTTATTTGCAATAATTTTAATAAGTTTTATAAGTTTTTACGAAGTTATGAGAAATGCCCCATTTCCACTTTTTACTCATAAACCACTTGGGTTTAATGAAAAAAATGTGTGCTAAACATTCTGCACCATAGATTTCACAAACACGAAAAGTTTTATTAAAGATAAAAAAAAACCTAAATAACACAACCATATAAGACAGTCAATGTAATAGTAAACCAACATCACAAAAATTGACAGATTGAGTTTCCGAAGTGATCTAGAAAGCCCTAAAGATTCAAAGGAATGTTTAAATGATAACCAGTCCAAGAATCAGCTCATATTAGAATTTATCAAAATTCTAAAAAAAGGTAAAATTATTTTTTAATATGAACAGATCCTCACAAATTCATCATCCTCTCCATTAACAAGTCTAACAAATTCTGTAACAATAGCATACAACATTTGTGCATGTTTTCGTTTCCTTGAAAAAGTTGGCACCACCAATGTCAAATTTACGGAGTCCGCGCATTTTTGCAAATTATTGGAAGAAGGCGATATGTCTTTAATAAAATTGAATTTATTATAAATCGGGATCTGCATAAAATGCCAGTAAAGAAACATGAAAATTGTATAGAGCCTATTAAGGCTATAAATTGAAAAAATACTCTAAGGAAAGATTACTAAAATTATTCAAGTCTAATTCGTGTTATCTATGGAAAAAGTAAATTCGTTCAATATCCTAATAATAAATTTTAAAAATTAAAAAAATATTATTTTTCTGTTAAGTTGTGGAAAAAGAAAAGGAAAAAATAAAAATCGGAATCAATAAAATTAGAACTCATATTCGAACTCATGTCAGTACACCCACTTACACCCTGTCAAACCTCTAAAATATCGAAGAGAGCTTCCTCATTATTTTCTAGATAGGCAAAAAAATGAAAAAAGGTGTAACATATGTATAAAAAAATATTTAGATTTTCCTACCCATGTAATCTTCTAAAGGATGTTCCATCCGATCACAATAAGCAACATAAGAACACCGAAAATTATGATAAGGTAATTCTGGTGTAGATAAAGGTAATAAAGCATAATCAGCAATTAAAGGTGGATTGTTAAACTTCTTTGAATTTCGGGAAAATAATGTTTTAATGTTGAAAGTAATTCTAATGTCAAGTCATTTGTTTTATTCCATCCAGTTTTCGAAGAAATAAATGAAGAACAGCAATTGGATTAGAAGAAAAGGATTTTGTGCCACCAGGACGGTCTTCCCAACCTATTTGGATCTATAAAAATTTTTTAAAAATTACTGAAAGTTTAAATATTTCCCAAGAAATATTTTAAAAATCCATTATCTATAAAAGTTTGGAAAAATTTTTTAAAAACAAATTTTAAATATGCAATCTGTTCCTGTTGTAGTAATTCCAATTTTGTAAATTATGTATCTTTATAAATAAAAAATACTTTTGAAGAAAAATGATTGAAATAATTCAAAAATTGAAAAAAAAAGGTTTAAAAAATCGTTGTATCTTTTTTTGGTTTTTTAATTAAATGGAAGGATAGAAAACAAAATGTTTATGTATATATGTAATTAAAGGGGTAAATTTAAAAAAAGTTCATCTTCTTGGGAAAAAATGGCAAAAAAGCAAAAGAATTTGCATAATTTCTATGAAGAAAGAGAGAGAGACGTTTAGAGGGGGTGGAGCCAAAAAAAAACAGTTGCAGGCACTTTCCCTAAGACTCAAAGAGAGAGAAAATTGCCAACGACGGGGACGTACAAACAACGACGAGCCTGTTGTTATAACTACTTGCGCTTTTCATTTTTTTCAATTCCGCTATTTTAGAATTTTGTTTTTTTAATTTAATATTTATTCCATTGCAGTTACTAAATGTGACCAATTCTCAATACAATCAACATTTACGAAATCTCCGACGTCAAAATGCCTACAAGACAAAACCTTGTCGCAATTATTATGGCAATGGTTTCTGCAAGGCTGGTAATGAATGTACTTTTTATCATGCTATTGGTGAAATGCGTGTACCGCCTCAGCATGAAATATTTGGAAAAGTGAAGGGATATTCAATTGACGTTAAAGACTTGTTTCCACAGGTTTGATTTAATCTTTTTAATGATTTTGATGTTTGGAGCATTTTGATAGGTTAGCATAAATAGCATGGAAATTAGTTTAAGGAGTCGTTTGTGTGAAAAATTTTTATAAACCCCAATCTAGACGAAATTTAATTAGTTTTATTTTTACAAAAATTTTAAGATTTTTGGAGAATTTCACCATGACAAAGAAAATCAAGCGCAATTTGGTTCCTCAGCTGCAGTGCAATTAGAAATGGAGAGAATTGTTGACCGTCTCATCTCATCACCATTTCGCTCCTTTGAACTGTCCTCTTAAATTATTTTAAGCTTAATAGTATTTCTGTTACTTTTTAAATGTCTTTAATTTTTGAAATTATTTAAGTAATTCCATTAATTAGGTAAATATTTAAGTCTTTTAAAATTAAAGGCATTTTCTAAACAAATTACTAATTTTATATGTATGTGACTTTAATTTTTATATTTTTCATTAATCCTAGATGTGTAATTTAATTTCTAATTTATTTACTTTTTCGACTATGTGTATTTATAAGACTTTAAAATAAATATTTAAACTTTTAATTAGTTGACTTTTTATAACGGTTCGTTCAGACGACCTTTTTAAAAATATTTTTAAATTTTTTGAAATACTAGATTGAAAAATTTTTGAATTTCGTAAGTTTAGGGAAAATTCTTTTTTGGCATATCGTCATTAAATAATTTCGGTTTTGTTAAATTGTTTTAAAAAAGAATATTCCTTAAATGATTTATTTAATAATTTTTATTAGTGCGCGGGACCAGATCCGGCCGGATTTTTTCGGATACCAAATCCGGGTTTTTTCGCGATCTCCGGATTTTTTTCGAACCGGATTAGTCCAGAAAAGCATGGGTGTGAAATTCAAAATCCGGTTTCCGGGTCCGGAAAAATAATTTTGCCGCGCACTAATTTTTATTTAAATTTTTTAGATCAATTTAATACTAACAAAAATTAATACTAACAACAACAATTTTTTAATTAAATTATGAATGTCACTAACAAGCTCCAAAAACGCCCCTTATCCCTATCCAGCTTTCAACCAAATTATGAAGCTCATCAACCTGTAGAACTTACTCAATATATTAATCCCGAATCTGAGTAAATCTTTTTTTTTTAACAATTTTTATAATTTATTTTTAATTTTTAGAAAGGCACATCACGTTCTTCTGGCGCATCATCAACGTGAATGGCGTAATAGCAGACGTTATATAGAAAGTTACAAAACGGTTATGTGCCAAAATTGGTTGGAGAGGGCACAATGCAGTTTTGGAAAAAATTGCCGTTTTGCTCATGGCTTTGATGACTTAAGGACACCGACGTTGTTTTTATTTAAATTTTATTTTAAAGTTTTAAAGGCTTTAAAGGCTTTGTATTTTAAAGGCTTCCTCTTCCCATCAACGAGAAGTACAAAACTCGTCTTTGTGAAAAATATACGAGTCGTGGAATTTGCCCTTACGGTAGTCGCTGTTTATTTATTCATCCTGACAACGTCCAAAATAATTTGCAAACAAATTGTATTCAAAGCAATTACCTCAACACGACTAATCATTTTGCTAGTTCAATGCCTTCCTGTCTAATTAAGAAGAAAAGCCAGAATCTTTTTCCTCAGGTTTTCTTTTAGATAATTAGCTTATTAAGATTGTTTAACTTAACTTTTGGTTATATTTTTGAAATGAGAAGGGTAAAATTCGCGAATTATCGCATCAGAAAAATTGGGGTTGGATTTCCCATTACATAACAGCCAAAAACCGTTTAATTTAATTGAGGTCGATTTCTCAAAACAGATCAATCAACAGAATCGGAAGACTATGTCTTTGTATTTCTTAATTTCGACGGTACATATTTTTCCCTTTTTCACCTTGTTATGTCATAACTAGAGACCGGATATTTATGCATTAAAAAATGCAAAATATGCACTATAATATGCATAAAAAATTGACAAAATATGCACGAAAATATGCAAATAAACCGAAATATTCACAAAATTATGCAGCAAAAGTACAATTTTTACCTAGAATGTTTGATTTTTTTTAATCAAAAACATTAAAACACCTATTTTTATTAAGATTACTCTCATTTTAAATGTATAGTTGTTATGTATCGACTTGCGGTGTGTCCGATACTAACAGAAAGACTAACCAAAGACTAACTATCAAAGGTTTATCACAAAGGTAACAATACAATAGAAATGACGAGACTATGCGCTGGAGTAGTATATAGCTTGACTACGGACTAAGACTAACTGGCGACTAAGGACTGACTCAAGACTCACACAAGACTAACACTAGACTAACACTAGACTAACACACCCACTACTAAAAGGCTGCGCCTTTTATACTAAACCGCCACCCTAACACCTCCCTTCTTTAATTAAGTCGGGACTATGTACCGACTTTTTCGACTAGACTTGGTGGACTTCAAAATACTACTACACTCCAACACAAACAATACAGCGAAAAATACAAAGGGCCAAAAATACAAAGTGAGCAACAAAAGGGGAGATACAATAATTACAAAAAAATTTACAACAACAATATTATCACAATTTATTTACTTCCTACTTACATCTCCCATCTACTTCTATCGTCGCTCGTCACAGTGCTCCCTTGTTGGCTCATCTTTTGGCCTCGTCGCGTTCTGTGTTGCCGTTGTTGCTGGTGCTTCCTTCAAATTGGAACTAGACTCCAATTGACTGCGAGGTTGACCATGTGTCGAACCTTTACTACGGCTTTCATCAGACTTCATTGACTTTGGCCTAATTTGCCATTCTTCGCGACTGACTATGGCTCTCAGCCTTGGGACTTTGACTTTATATCCATCCACGAATTTACTCAGAATAGTCCCAGGCAACCATACTTTCTTGCCATTCTTGCTCCTATTCATGACTAAGACTTCGTCGTCTTCTTTGAATCGACTAGAATTTCCCGATGACTTCTCCTTCTCTAAGAATCTTGACTTCGTCGAGCCTTGAGTAACACGACTACTCTTCGGACTATTCGACTTCTTACTCTTTCGATTCTTTTCCCGACTAATCTTTCTACTATTCTCCTTCAAGTTCGGGACTTCTATCGTCAGAATATGTGGGACTGAAGAATCAACTTCTACTTGATTTACTTCTGGACTATCGACTCTCTTAAACCGTTTCTTTGGTTTCCTACAATCTCGACTAATGTGTCCGACTATTTCACAATTATAACACTGACGTGATTCAACTTGGCGTTCTTTTTGCCTTGACTTAATTCTTGATCGCTTCGACTTTCTGCTCTGACTATGTTCGATCCGACTAACATTATTTATCTCAACATACTCTTTAGGTCCACTCTTGACCTTTGCCTGACTATCGAACATTTTCGCCTCCGACTTATTCGCCAGATAACTCCTCACTTCCTCCATCAATGCCTTCAACGTGCAGACTTCCGACTTCGCATACGACTCTACAAATCTCAGACTGATCTGTCTTACATCCAGCGCCTTCTCTGGAATGCCAGCTATGAATACTAGAATTTTGCATTCCTCGACTGTCAAGTCCATATTCGCTTTCTCGCATTCTGAATTAACTAGAGTCCCGAAATCTAGAATTTTCTCTACTGATGGGCATCTCATTTTCATGACTTCGAATCTTCTGACTAATTTCGATCTTGGGTCACTGAATTCCTTTTTCAGTACCGCGACTAGACTTTCGAAGCTCATCTCTTCTAACCTTTCCGGCAACAATTTCTGCGACATTTTCGCATATTCGACTCGGCCCAACTTTTCAACTAATAATCGGACTCTGACTTCCTCTGCCAAGGACTGCGCGTCTACTTCAAAGTAGGACTTGTTCTTAGCATACCAAGACTCAAATGTGATTCCCTTTTCAACATCTGACTGGAACTCTGCAATCAATGACTTCAACTTACAATACAGTTCCGTCGACTCTTCCTCTTCAGACTTGATCGCAACTGACTGACTCTCTTTCATCATTTCAAGCCATTGAATTTGCATCTGTTGCGAACGAGCTTGCATTTGCTCTTGTGCCTGCAGTAATTTTTCAAGCATTTCATCCATCTCGACTGAATTATTTGACTAATCAAACTGACTTTTAGACTATGGGTCCTGCCTGTTCAATTTTTCGTTGACTACTCAATTAAGAGTTTAACTGCGACCGCGCCACTGTTATGTATCGACTTGCGGTGTGTCCGATACTAACAGAAAGACTAACCAAAGACTAACTATCAAAGGTTTATCACAAAGGTAACAATACAATAGAAATGACGAGACTATGCGCTGGAGTAGTATATAGCTTGACTACGGACTAAGACTAACTGGCGACTAAGGACTGACTCAAGACTCACACAAGACTAACACTAGACTAACACTAGACTAACACACCCACTACTAAAAGGCTGCGCCTTTTATACTAAACCGCCACCCTAACAATAGTCCGACAAATTGAGTATTTTTAATATATTGGACATTTTGAGATGAGACGTTTTGGTGGTGGGACATTTTGGGATGGGACGTTTTGGTCGTGAGACATTATGGATATGGGACATTTTTGGGTCGTGCCCAAAAACAAAAAAATTTTTTTACAAAATTTGCAATTTTTACAAATTTTTTCCAAAATTTTTACTAAATTTTCACTTTTTGGCAGGATTTTGGGCAATTTTAGAGTTATTTTCCCCAAAAACCCCAAAATATGCAGTAAAATATGCATTATGCAGCAAAGTCCGGAATATGCAAAAATATGCATTATATGCAAATAGAAACCCCCTCTAGAGTTTTCAAAACATGCGGAAACAGTGTTTTTTGTGCATTATACATCAGGATAAGTTTGCAAAAAAAATATGCATTTGCATAAAAATCCGGTCTCTAGTCATAACATTAATGGAAGTTAACTTTCTTCCACCCTCCTCGAGAGTTTCTTTGTTTTTCTAAAATTCCATTTGATGGCCTTTAAATATTTTTATTTTAGATTCTTGAAGAACTTAATCGTGAAAAAGAAAACAACCAGCCACGAGCCTCGTCTGATGCAATGCAATTAGAGATGGAGCGCTTTGTTGACAGTTTAACCGCATCGCCATTTTGCCTTTAGGTGATCCTTTTTAAGATTTTTAATTTATTCTGTGCCTGTTTTGATTTTTAAATGTTTTTAATTTTTGTATTTTTAAAATTATTAAATGATTTTATGAATAATTCTTTTTGGGGAAATTTACAAAATTAAAGACATTTTTAGACAAGCCTAATTCTAATTTATTTTTTCTGTTTATTTGTGACTTTTTTAATTTTTTAATTCAGTTAATTTTTTAATTTCTTTAAATTTTTAATTTATTTTTTTCTCAAATTTATTTGTATTTTAAGACTATGAAATAAATATTTGAATACTAGCTTCTATTCTTTTATAAATAGTTTATGGGTCTTAAATTTTTCTTTTATCATTTTTTGCATGTTATTTTTGAAGTTTATAAATTATTGGTACGGCTTTGGAAGAGATAAAAGTGTTTATAAATTTTGTCTCGCTCTTTGTGAGTTACATAATTTAAATAGCTTCTCCTAGATAGTCCCCGAAGTCGGGGAACTCCCCCAAAAGCACTGATTAAACAAGTTAGGACAAAGTTACGATATGGAGAGTCGGCGAGGCGCTGACAACGGGTAAGCCCAAGTAGGCGCGCGGCCATATGGCGCAAAGCCATAACTTCCTTCAAGATTTCCGATTCTTAACAAATTTAATAATAAACGATTCCTCTCATGAGCAAAGAGATTGGTACCAAAATTGATAAGGGCCAAAAATTTTCCAGCAAGTTATAGCTTTGCGCCTTTATGGCCGCGCGCCTAATTGGGCGTTCCCGCTGACAACGGTCGCTGACTGTAGAGACTACGATGAATGGAAATAAATAGAAAAAGAGAGAAGAAATATAATAACAGAAGAGAAAAACATTTAAAAACGTTGAGATTTAATGTCAGTTTGACATTAACGTTGTTCTGGCATTGTGTTCTTTAAAAAAGTTGACCGCGACTAATTGATGGTATTTAAATAAATCTTTTTTCCTTAAGAAAATGTTATTTTGCAGTTCCATAGTTGCTGCACATTTTCGTAAAAAAGTCCGCGCATGCGTTTTTATGGTTCATAATCACCAAGGCGAGGATTTATAGGCAAATGCCCGTTTTTTCTGCAAGCTTGGGTTGATGTAATACGTTCAGACAACGTGTTTTTAGCTTGGCCGTGTTTTTAGCTTAACTTTTAATTTGCCTATTTTGGCCTTTTTGAGACTTTTCGCCTTTTTTACAATTTTTGGTACCATTTTTGCCTTTTTTCTTGCAAGCTTGGGATGATTTTTTTTCGGGATTTCCTTTTTGTCAAGTTTCGACAATTTCCTTTTTGTCAAGTTTCGACAATTTCCCTTTTGTCAAGTTTCGATATTTTTAGCTATTTTTCCTAAATCCTGTCTAAAAATCAGTCCCAGATTTTAAAAAATCAGTGCCAACTCCCATTTTTAATTTATAGTTCGACGAATTATGTATTTTTACTCAGTTGGACATTTTGAGATGGGACATTTTTGAGTTGGACATTTTGGGGTTGGACGTTTTGTGGGTTGGGCGGGATTTCCCTTTTGTCAAGTTTCGACATTTTTAAAAAATTTACACTATTTTTGGTCAAAATGTAGTTTAATAAATAGTTTATGATTCAGAAAGTGACGAATAAATTGTTATTTTCTTGCATTTTTCTTAATTCTATGCGTCCTATAACTTTTTTACCTGCCTATTTTTGTGCCTTTTTTGGCTTTTTGGTGCTTATTTTAGGCGCCTTTTTACTGTTTTTACTAGTTTATAAATCCTCGCCTTAATCACTATATTTTCCAATAATAATACTCATCTTTTCAATAATTTAGCCACTAGATATCAAATCACTGAAAAATCTTTGCTTAAATTGTCTAATTTTTTCACTATTTTTAACTTTTATTTTTAGAATCTTTAAATACCATTTAATTTAAAATGTCTACTTTGCAACCTAGGAAGGCGACAAGTATAATGCAGGATGCTGAGAAAGCACTTGAGTTGGCTAAGGTTAGTTTGAATTATTTACTTATTTTTGTAATGTTTATGGTTGTTAAATGATTTAGATGAGTTTCTGAAAAGTTGCTTTTCAGAAACTCAACCAGTATAGACAGATATTGTTCATAATTTAGGCACTAGTTATCAAATTAATGAAAAATCTTTGTGTAAATTGTTTAATATTTTTCACTTTTAGCTTCAAATTGGATCCACTTTGCTTGCGGAAAAGAAACAACCTGGGACTATTGATGTTGGAAATGGTCAGAGGATCGTCACAAATGTATTTTTTAAAAATATTTTGTTTAAATTTAAAAAAATTTTTAGGTCTATCTTCTTGAAATGTCAAAAACAAAAGATTTATTTCGTTATGAAGTGAATGTTTCTGGAGTTGGACAACGTGAATTTGATTTGACTACTCGATCTTCTTCAGAGTATTTTTTAAATATAATTATTTTCTTGAGATCACTAGTTTTTTTAAACTCCTCCAATACTCTAAAAAGAAGATTATCTATGAATATGCTTCTTGTCCTTTTTAATGATATTTTCTTTAGAGATAGGAAATTTAAGAACCTCGATTTTTGATTCTGTTATGTCACCCTGACCAGATCCTTGATTTTGACTCTGAATCCAGAAAAAGACGAGGGTTTCCAGATCCATGCCGATCTCTAATTTTCTTTTTTTATATTTTTGAATTTTAAAGTTTTCTTTTTCAGCTATCGTAATGCTGTGCGTCGTCTTCAATGCTATTCTGTTTTGAGAGCTTTTAAGATTAAGCATGCTTCGGTTTTATCAAAAGAACGTCTTTATTATGATTGTGGAAGTTTCCTCATTTCAACCATTGATTTGAAAGTTCCAGTTGTAAGTTTTATTTTTAATTTAAGATAGGACTTTGTCGAAGGGGATTTTCTGGGAAATTGGTCACTGAAATTTTGTGCTGGAATCCGGCCATGTGTATTTCCAAAATTTTTAAATTTTTCGCTTGCGGTGCTGAAAAAATAAAAATATTTTTTAAAAAATTTGCGTTCGAAACGCCAAAGTAAACGCAATTTTTGTTTACACCCCATTTTAGTCTCCTCACTGTATTCGACCCCCTGGGCCCGTAGAATAAATTCGGGGTAAGGGTTATTTAACCCCTACCCGAGGGTCAAATAACTCGCAACCCGCAGCATAAATTGCTACTCTGAGTTCAGGGTTAAACAACCCGGTAGTTTAACCCATAACCCCGAGTAGCTTTTCACATTGGTAGAATAAATTATTTACTCGGGTTAAATAACCCTCAGCTAAGGGTAAAATTGCTACACTGGTCGGGGGCAGTGTAACAGGGTAAAACGCGTCTCGATTGCTCTTTTCCAAAATATATTAAGTTTTCAAAATTTTGAAAAAAATTTTATATTCAAAAAATGAAAAAATATTTATGAAAAAAATTTTTTTTGAAAATCCAGGTTTGGATCCGGGTATAAAAAATCCGGATTTTGATCCGTAAAGTCCAGTCCGAATGAGAAAAAATTAAAATGCGGAAACCGGATCCGGCATTTTCAAACTTCTAACTCTAATGATTTTACTTAATAGTTAAAGCAGTTAATGTAAGTTCAATATAGAAATAAAATTAAAGAGTTACTCGCGAGTTACAGTAACCTCTAGTTTGGAGTAAAAATGCGAATTTATTCTACGGAATTTATTCTACCAATTTTACTCGGAACTCAGGGTTATTTAACCCAAGGTTATTTTACCCGGTTATTCAACCGGTTATGTTACCCCGAATTTATTCTACGGGCCCTGACTACACCCTTGTTATGTATGCTCTTTATTACTTTTAGTTTTAGAATTTTAATTGTTTTTTCCTTATTTTATTAACTTTAAATATAATTTTCTCAGCGTGGAATTGAGGAGTTGTTTACGTTGGAGCAGATTAAACAACATTCTCCTCATTTCTTCAATGGCTTCGACTCATTCAGACTTAAAATTCGTCCGGTTCAAGATACTAAGAAATTGCTCAAACTGTCCGATTTTTCTTATGTCACCAACGATGCAGAGAAGATTGATCGTACAACTCAGCAGTTTTTGGATATTGCAACATCTCAGGACGTCTTTGATGATCCGTAAGTTTCGATTATATAGTTATGATTTTTAAGACAAAAATATTTTCCAACAAAAAACATAATAAGAATTGCTTATAAAGAATTGTTAAATTCAGAAATCATTTTTTTCCGCAAATTTGACGTACTTCCCAGTATAGCACCACGAAATCCGATTCCTTTACGCCTCTGTGGTTGTATCTTGAAAAATTTAAAACTAAAAATATTTACAAATTAACCTTAAGTCTCTTCAGCTTATTCTTCATTTATTTTATTTAATTTTTTTTCAGTTCACTTTACACTCATTTTTCTGCTTCTGATTATTATTTGCTCAATCCCAGTTATTTTGGATTTACTGAACAGGATTGTCCAGTTTTCCCAAGTAATTCTTCATTTCTTGGAATTGGAATGCATAAGGGCATTCGCACTGTTGAAAATGCTTCTGGTAACAATCAAATGAGTGAAGCAATTGTTGCATCTGTAAAGAAGGTTTATTTAATTGGCTTTATTTTTACAGTTTTTTTTATTTTTTAAGACACCTTTTCATTTTGTGGAACTGGTCTCAGAGAAACTTTTGAAATTGCTTGGACCTCATTTTGCTTCTCGTATGAAGGACACTGAATGGGTTAAAGAACGTGTTGAAGGATCACTTAAAGGTTTAATTTTGAATAACCTTTAGCATATTTCCATACGTTTCGACTTTGATCGAGTGGTTAATTGTGTTATTTTTATTAACATTTTTACCTTTTCAATTGGATTTTCTTTTCGGCTGTGTAAATTTATTCTAATAAGGTCCTTATTTGATCTAACATTTTTCCCGATTTCAGTTAATCTAATTAAATTTTCCTAATTTTATTCTTATTCTTAGGTCTTTTTGTTGTAACTAATCATACTCAAAAACCTCGAGTATTCGAAATTCATGGATTATCTACAACTAATCTATACACTGAGTTTATTCAACGTGAAGGAGGCCCAAAAGTCTCTTTGTTTGAATATTACACGCAAACATATAACATTAACTTTAAGTAAGTTTTGATTTTTGTTTTGTAAATAATTATGATTTAATCTAGATATCCTAATTTGCCGCTTATTGTAAATAAGTACAAAACTCTGCAAAATAATGATGGAATTCGTTATTTTCCAATGGAAGTTTGTGTTATTCAAGACAATCAACGGGTAAAATCTAATCAACAAGATCCTCAAATGATTCGTGTATGTTTTTGTTTATTTTCATTGCCTTATTTAATTATTAGGAAATGATTCGGAAAACGGCTATTCCGCCTGCGGAATTAAAGAAACAAAATGCTTTTCTGAAAAATTCTCTTCAACTTGATAATAGTGAATATTTGAATGGTTTGGGAATTAAATGCCAAAAAGATCCCATTGAACTTACTTCTCGTGTTTTGCCGCCACCAGAACTCGAGTTTGCATCAAAGGCAAAGCAAGTTCCGAAGTTACCGCGTTGTTCATGGAATGATGCTAATAAATATTTTTCTACTGCAACGTGTGGTAAATGGGTTGCTTTGGCTCTTTTTGGTACACAACAGGATGCTATCAATATGGAGCAGTGGACGTAAATTTCATATTTAATCTAAGTTATTTTTAAAAATTTACAGTGAATTTGTGAAGCGATTTCGCTCCGTCCTTGCAAAAAATCGAATGAACTTTGCCGAGCCTCAGATCCTTGTTCGCCAAGCAACTGGTGCGGATTTGAAATTACTCATTCAGGGGTACTACGAACAAGGTTTTGAGTATATGTTAATTGCTCATCCAGATAATGCAGATCAGATTCATCGTTAGTTTTAAGTTTATTTTAGTATTTTTTATATTTTCTTCAAAGATGCCATGAAGTATATCGAACAGAAAACCGAAGTCGTCACGCAGGGTGTCAAGATGTCGACAGTAAAGAATGTCATCTTTAAGGATCGTTTTCTGACATTGGCGAACATCATCCACAAGACTAATGTAAAGATGGGAGGACATAATTATACGATTTCTGTTTCTCCGCAATCTGAGTGAGTATACTTTTATTTAAATTACAATTATTTTTACAGTTTATTCCCAATTTTTGGGGGTAGTACTTTAATTGTTGGCATTGGTTCAAACCATCCAGCTGGGGGGTTAGCCACGCGACCTGGTGCGCAACCAACTGCAGAAGGTGACAAAAATGGAAACGGTAAGAATGGAAATGGAGGTAATGGAAATGGTGAACATGTACAACGCATAACTGTGCCATCTGTTGTTGGAGTATGTTTTTAGTTTTAGTCTTCATATTTTTAACATTTTAAGTTTTCTGCAAATATTGGGAAGAATAATAGTTTTGAGTTTGTTGGCGACTATTGTTATCAGGTTAATTACTATCTTTAGTTTAAAATGGTACTCTTGTGTTGGCTCCCGGACAATGCGTCAGTGGACAATTGCTTACAAGGGAACATTCCGAACTGTCAGTAAAAATTTCTAAATAAAAATTATACCATCGTGTAGAGCGTGGTCGAAAACGTACTATGGTAACTTTCTTTTTTGGCTCCGACCCCCATTTCGAAAAGTTATAGGGGTTCAAAGTTTCCTACTTTTGGAACGGTTGAGTCTTTTATTAAAGAAAATTTTTCTCCTCCATAAGAGAAAAATAAGACTCCCATCCTCCTTTTTTCCTTTCCTTTTCTTTTCCAACATTAGTTAGAGAAAGAGAAAAGGGGGAGAGAAAAGAAAAGGAAAAGAGGCGTCTCTGCCTTGCATTTAATGTCAATTAAAAAGGAAAGAGGAGAGGGCAGAGATGCCTCTTTTCCTTTCCTTTTCTCTCCTCTTTTTCTCTTTCTTTAACCAGCACAGGAAAAGAAGAGGAAAGAAATAAAAGAGAAAAGGAGTCTCATTTTTCCCTTTAGGAAGAGAAATAATAAGAAAAGTGAGGGCGACTCAACCGTTCCAAAAGTAGGAAACCTTGAACCCCTATAACTTTTCGAAATGGGGGTCGGAGCCAAAAAAGAAAGTAACCATAATACGTTTTCGACCACGCTCTACACGATGGTATAATTTTTATTTAGAAATTTTTACTGACAGTTCGGAATGTTCCCTTGTTAGTGAAATACATCGGAGGATCTTAGGACATAAAGTGTTATTTGAAGGGATTAAGATGGAATTGATGGATTTATGGGGATTAAGAGGACCACGTTTCATTTTTCCTTACAAATCCACGTTATCCTTTCAAATGCTCTGCAACTTTAAAATTGAATATTTTTTCATTTTTTATATTTTCAGGAAGCTAATCGTGATGAGAAAGTTAGCATTATTGAGAACATCATCAAACGTTGTATAGTGCAATATGAAACGTTCAACAATCGCTTTCCGTCAGTTTTTTTAAATTTATTAAAAACCTTAATATCTTTACAGAACTCGTCTTATTCTTTATCGCGATGGAAGTGGGGAAGGGTCTTTTCAAAAGATTTTGAAATATGAAGTGCCACTTATCCAGAATGCATTCAATGAACATGGAATTTCGGCAAAGATTACTTTGATCGTGGTCATAAATGATCTCTCGAAATTAGAGTATGACAGGTGTGAACTTGAACTACATACATAGTTGATAATCAACTTGACTAAATATTAGGGTTAAGTGGTATGTGTTTGTATCCCAAAGTAAAAATTTTAAAAATCGAAATATAAAACAAATTTTAGGATATACATAGTTTAGTATACAGTTGTTTTAGTTTCAATACAAAACCCATACCATTCGATTCGTCTCGACGAGCTTTATTATGTTACGAGCCCAGAACCCAACCGTTGACCCCCACGATGCGCGTGCCGTAATTAAAGCCTTTTGTTACAAGCGTGAACGGGGCTGTATAGCTGCCGCTGTGTTACGACCCGAGGTGTCCGAGGTTTAACTAATGCGACGAGCACAATAATAACACTTTATCCAATGTAGAAATAACAATGTGTAGGCGAAGGGAATGGGACAGACGAAGGAGATCAGTGACTAGCCCCGCTAGTATGATCCGACAAGACTGACGCTTTTACTGGCTTTTATAGTAAACACTTTAAGGGCTGACGCCCATACACAACACGCTGATTTGCGGACCCGAAATTTGCGGACCCGAACTATGCGGACCCGAATTTTGCGGATCTGAGATTTGCGGACCAAAAATTTGCGGACCGACAATAGTCTACTGAACCTTTGAAATTTCAAAAATTTTAGCCTGCGGCGTTAATTAGGATAAATTCAGTCATCATGACCTTATGAAATGGCCATATAGATGATTTTTTAAGGAATTTTCTCGATTATCTCGATTATGAAATAATTTTAAGATAAAAAATTGATAAAAATTTTGAAAAATCAAGAAAAAATCTTGAATCCGGTACGGATTATGGTAAGCTATGCCGGAATCCTCGAAAAATAAAATTTTTAATTTTTCCTTTTTACTCAAGTGTCGGTCTTAACATCTTGGTTCCGCAAAGATCAGGTCCGCAAACTTCGTGTCCGCAACTTTCGGGTCCGCAACTTTCGTTCCGCAAATTTCGGGTCCGCAAAGTTCGGGTCCGCAAAATTCGGGTCCGCAAAGTTCGCGCCACGCATTCGTCAACACCGTCTTGGTGAAGACCGCCTTGGCAACTCGAATCCAAACAATTTGGAAAATCCAGGTTATTTTTAATTTAATTGGCTAACCCTACCCTAAACCTACCCTGAAATATTTTGTTAAAAATATTTTAACTTTAAAGTTTTCATTTAATTTTTAGTTATGTATTTGTAGGTTTTTGAGGCTATTTTTGGTTTGCCGTTTTGAGGTAGTCCCTTATGGGGGTTTTGTTCGGTGGGTCGTTTTAAAAATATTTTAACTTTAAATTTAAGATAAAAAATTTGTACATTGGGCCGTTTTCGGGGTGCGCCCATATTCACCTTGCTTTTGAATTAGGGTAGCACCATGAGCCTTTGGGGTTTGAGTCGGGGTTTTTGCCTAGAAATTCATCGGGGATTTCGGGGGACGGGGCGCTACCCTATTTTGAAGTAAAAAACCTATTAAATTTACGAACCTAAAAAATAATTCAAATAAAAATAAATAGTTACCAAAATATGATTTATTGCAGAAACCGGTACATTCCCCACTATAGAGTCTTGAAAATTTCCATTTATGGAAACATTAAATTTGAAGTTATTTGTTCTTGGCATAGACAAAATTTCAATCACACATTCAAATGTTTCTTTTAATAGTATATTTTCCATGTGCCAATCAGAGTCCTAAATTTATTTTTAATGGATTCTTGTCATTAGATAGATTATTATTAGGGAGTGTCAAAATATTCACGGAAAGTTCCAAAACATGCGTATTTATGATAAAAGATATCCAAAATATGAATCGAAATTTGCAAAATATGCACTAAAAATAGCGAAAATTTCATAAGAAATGTTTATTTAGCACTAAAATAATTTAATTTCGCTTTTCACAATTGCAAATCAGTGTTGCCACGGGTACAAATATTTGCCGCGGGTACAAAAAATCTTCGGGTACGGGTTAGAGCGTCTTCATTTGACCTATATCCCTCCTCTAATTCCCTTTAATCCCTCCAAATCTAAAAATTTCGGAAGGCCTTAAGCGAAAAAAATTTAGACTGAACCTCCGAGGTCCTCGAACCTCCGAGGTCGAGGTCGAGGATAGCCGAGGTTTCTTCTATCTTTATTCCTGGACTCGCTTCAAAAACTGTGTCTAATTTATTTTTAGTTTCTTCTACCCTTTCTTCCCCTTCTGATAGATTCAAAAAGGGTACTATGCGTTTATCGCCCGCATGACCGCAAATGTAGCTTTGTCTATATTTGCGGCTAATTTTGTCCTTTCCTTCTACCCTTTCTTCCCCTTCTGATAAAGATTAAAATTTGTTTAATTTATTTATTTTATTGAGTAAATTAGAGGTCCTACGGATCCTACGGAAATCCTACGGAAATCCACCCAAATACCACGATAAACCACCGAAATATTCCTTAATCCCTTGATCTCTCTTAATCACCTAATATCACTCGTTATCCCCCTTGATTCGCTTAAATTCCTGGAATACTATTATTGATTAATATTCCACCCAGAGCCAACATGGAGCCGGACCAAAAATCGCTGGCTCTAATGCTGGAGTCGGACCCAAGATTTTAAAAGTAGCCGGAGACTAACTCAGGAATAAGATAAAGTCGAGGTTTTTCAAAATTTCCGATTAGGAAAATAAACGTAAAATGTCTCTTTGATAAAAAAGGGTCCCTGATAATTTTTTAAGTAGGTTTTTTTTAAAGTTAATTTATTAAAAATATTTTTTTATTAAAAGCATAACCCAATCTTCTCTAAAAAGCACGGTTCGTGGTGTAACGTAGCTGACGCCCATTACATTAACACCAACTTAATAAAAAAAGAATTTTTAGGCTTTAAATAGGTTTGGGCTAGGCTGTAATCTAGGTCCACCAAGATCGGAACTCAAAATATATACCATTCGATTCGTCTCTCCGAGCTGAGTTTGATTCGTAGTTATTGACGCTGCGTAAGCTGTTTTTTGGGATAAAAAATTCAAATATGCAAATAATAGCTCATACGAAAGAGCTCGTCGAGCTGAGTCGAATGACATCAAAATCAACGAAATCTGACTTGATTTGACAAAGTTATGACCGTTTGTTTTTATTCCCTACATAGGGTCTATGCGGAAAAAAGTTTTTGCCACTGCGGAGGAAGCCAGGCATGTCAAGCGGAAACGGTCGGTCGCCGCGAGCGCAGCGAGCACTACCGCAGCGAAGCACGGCCATCGTGTAGCCCTAGTATAAATTTAATAAAGAGACAAGTAATATGAAAAACTAATACAGGAACTTTACATCTTTTTTGTGCTGCTGAATAGTCTGATGTACCATGAATAAGTACAAGCTGAAACTTTTGGTCTTGTATAGATTTATTTTTGAAATTAGTGACAGCACGGAAAATAATTTTCGTTCCATTTTGGACATCATTATTTTTAATTTCTGTTCCATAAGGTGTACTAAGTTCTTCAAGACGCTGCGTTAAATTAATATTTTTAGTTATGGAAAAAAGGAACAAAGGCTGTTAACTTAGTTTTTTGTTTATCTCTTTTTGATTAACTTTTAGAAAATAATTTTAGAGAAAAAAGGAAACAAGTTTTTTTAATTTTAAATAGTTTGCTCCTATACTTTTTTCTACCCAAAAATTGGAATTATTGTTTTATAGTAGGAATTTTGTTGATAGAATAGAATATATCTTAATAGAATATATTTTAAAGACCAATTA